TCGTCTGCGTCTGCGACATGCCCTGTACTATCATGGACCAGCATCTCAGAGCACCATTAGCACCCTGCTGGCAAAGACTGATAGAAAGAGAGAGAGACTGAAACCCAAACATTGTCAAAAAACAAACCCCTCCTCAAAATGAACCTACAAAGTATATTTTTAAAAGTATGCAGAAAACTCTCAAGACAATCAAAAAATTTACCAATTAAAGCTTGAATTCACTTCTAATAGAAATTAAGTTTATGGAGCAATATGGCAGGAATTTAAATAAGTGTTTTGGGATATTCAGAAATAAGTAAACATACAACTTCTAAGTCAAAAGAAGAAATTATAAAACAAAACCTGCAATGAACCTCATGGTGGTGACTTAGGCTGTCAAACATGGGAAATGGCATCAGCAGTCCCACTGTTTCTCACAGTGGGAGCAGGATTCTGGTTCCGCCCTGATCCCATTTCTGCCTGAAGAAAGCTCACTTAATGACTCTGAGGTACCCCTAGTTTGGCTGTTCCCAGCCAAGTTCCCCTTTTTCCTTCTGACCTGCCTTTTATCACAGCTCTGCTCCTCCATGTCTCAATCATATATTTTTTCTTTTTTTGGCTAGGGCTGGGTTTGAACCTGCCACCTCTGGCATATGGGGCCAGCGCCCTACTCCTTTGAGCCACAGGCACCGCCCATCTCAGTCATATTTTCTGTTCTATCAATTTCCCCGTTTTGTGGACATCTACTTCCTTCAGGTGCCCATCCTCTGGTTCTGATTTGATGGACAACTCTTTTCCCTGGACTTCAACATTTTCTATGCCTCAAATCTTCCTCTTTCTTGGTTGATGCTTTCCTTTCCTGACATATCTAAGACTTGTTAATGGATGGTAAATTTTATGAATTCTTGCATGTCTGAAAAGATTATTTGTCATCATGATTTGAAGAACGGTTTGGGTGGACATGAAATTCTATATGGAAAATTATTTTCCTTAGAGAAGGAAAACCAACACTGAGCACACTAGCATCCAAAAAGTGGTCCCTAAATATCATTTCCCACTAAAGATCCTCGAAGAATTACCTGATTACAGGTCTCAGATGGTAAATTTGCAAGGTAAACCTGGGATATCTTGCCATTCCAGAAAGTGGAAGCTATTAAAAGATTATTAGTGTTGAGTAAAAGAATACAGGGGCCAACTTTAAGAGGCTCCAAATAGCCAAAAATATGACAATTTGAGCATTAATGAAGTTAGTAACCGCAATGAGTTGAAATGATCTCCAGAAAAAACAACTGTTTGAACACCTTGAAGGATGCTAGAGGACCAACTCATTATTTTGGAAGCTGATGAAGCAAAATAATCAAGCATTCATCCTGCCTTGAGACAGAATCTTGCTCTGTCACCCTAACTACAGTGGTGTCAACATAGCTCACTACATCCTCAAAGTCCTTGGCTCAAGTGATCCTCTTGCCTCAGCCTCCTGAGCAACTGGAACTAAAGGCATGCATCACCACACAAGACTAATTTTTCTATTTTTGTAGAGATAGGGTCTCACTCTTAATCAGGCTGGCCTTGAACTCCTGACCTCAAGCAACAGTCCTGCCTTGGCCTCCCAGCGTGCTGGTATTACCGGTGTGGTTCTATATAACCTATACCTCAAAGTACTGAATAGCTGATGAGGAAAAGTTTCTATTTATGGAAGTAATCCAACTAATATACAGGAAGTGATAAAATATCACCATTTTCTAACCCCTAGAGAATTATCAAATCTGTGCAATAATCACCAGTGATGCTAATATCATGTTATGAAAGAGACATCCAGAAATATATGCGTCCTTGATGAAAGTATACACTACCATCAATGAAGCAATTTTGGCAAAACCCCACAGAAAACAAAAACCCTGAAATTGACCAAGCCTTTCACTCTTTCTCAGAAAATATGAGGAACATATTAAATTATTAATATTGTAACATATTTAAAAGACAGAACCAGGCCCACAAAATAAAGCAAACATCTCTGTGGACCAAAACTGAGCAGAATTCATGTAAGTGCTTAGAATTAAAAGACTCATGGGCTCTAGGCCTAGAAGTGAGCAGGGACGGCTGAGAGCTCAGTTCTGGGGGCAAAAGGGCACTTTAAGGGCACCATGAGTATTCATTCCACGAAGTCCAGACTGTAGGAACTTCTACAAAACAAAGACCTAGTCTCTCCAATAAATTTCAAGGAGGACAAAAGAGTACAGGTACCCATAGATCAAAAGAGACTAAGAGGTACAACAAATTGCAGTGCAAGAACTGTATCTGGATCCTGATTTAAACAAACTTAAATTACACACAGGCTGGGCACAGTGGCTCATGGCTATAATCTCAGCTGTTAGGGAGGCTGAGGTGGAAAGATCACTGGAGCCCAGGAATTCAAGGTTACAGTGAACTATGACCATACTACCACACTACAGCCTGGGTGACAGAGCAAGAGTCTATCGATAAATAATACACATACACACCCCTTTATGAGAAATCAGGAAAATCTGACTACTGAATGGTTGATATTAAACAATTATCGTAATTTTGGATGTGAACATGGTATGTCTTATGTTTAAGAATCATGTGCCTTTTATACACATATTGTTACTGCTACCGATGAAATGATATAGAATGTTTGAAATTTTCCTCAAAATAATCCAGGCCCTGGGAGAGATAGGAGAAAGGAGGGGTACAGATAAAGCAAATTTTACCATAAGTTGATCATTCTTTTTTATTTTTCTTATTGTTAACAGCATTGCTACATCACCCAGGCTGGCCTAGAATTCCTGGCCCCAAGCAATCTTTCCCCTTCATGGCCAGCACCTCCTAGGTGTTGTCAGCTCAAAGGTGTTTCTTGACCAAAACTTCTCCTGGTGCAGGGTCCCAAACTAGGCTCTGTTTGCTGTATGCCAGAAAAGGGCCAGGTCCCACTCAGAAGGTAGTTGTAGGGATAGGAAACCTGCAGCCTTGGGATCACATGTGACCTTCAGGATCCTTGAGTATTTTGACTGAATCTAAATTTTACAGAACAAATTCTTTTATTAAGCAATCTGCTCAGGGATGTGCCCATAGATCTTTCTGAATGAATGAATAAACAGAAGGAAATGTGACTCCCTATTGGCCCCTAGCCGGATTCAGGGTCCCCTTTGGAACTGGCAAAGAAGCTACAGCAAGAAGCAGGTATGAACACAGAAATCCCAAGAGGGCCATGATGGGAGAGAAGCTAACTGGGACAGGGTGGGGATATTTTGTATCAGCAGCCACAGAAATACGTAAGCAAAAATAACCTATTTACATGTTAAAGTAGGGAAATGCAAGTCACTTACCACTATAAAATGAAGAACAAATTACTATAGCTGCCTGGCACTGCTGTGGCTGTGTGACCATCAGTGCTCTCTGCGCTGGCAGTATGTGCTGTTGAACTGTAGTTAGCATTTTTTTGGTGGCAATTCGGCTATATTCAAAAACTTAAATATGCATGCCCTTTGACCCAGAAGTACCATCTCTAGGATTTTATCTCATATAAAAAGATGTATTAAAAAATCTACATAACTACTGCAAAATCTGTGTATAAGAATCTACACTGTGGCATTGTTTGTAGTAGTGAGTAATCAGAAATAACCAAATACCCATGAATTGGGTAGTTACATAAATTACAGTATATCCACAGAATAAAATGCTATGATACAGTGGTCAAAATGAATGAGGTAGCTCTTACTAGGTAAGAAAGTCCATGACATATTTTTAAATGAAAAAAAGCAGGTTGCAAGCAAGACCATATAAAAGTACATTCCTAGTTTTAAACATCTCCACACATGTAGAAGAAAACATGCCCCAATGAATGTAGTGTGACTGTTTAAGAGAGGAAGAGGGTTGAAATTTTTACAACTAGCATGTATTTTATAGGAAAAGAATTGAGCAAAGATTATAAAGCTTTATTTAATAGATATAACCAAATAATTCAAAATACTATACTCCATATGTAGCAGTTAAGAGAAAAGAAAAAAGAGAAGTTTGAAAAGATTAAGTGACAAGGTCAAGAGAAAAGGAATCAGAAAAGGAAGGTTGGGGAAACCAGCAAAAGAGAATGAAAACAACAAAGGTTGGTGGAGGTGAAAAGGACACTGAGAACTTTGTGACCCCTGCAAGTGCCACCTTTTGTAGGTCACATTTCCCAGGCCACTGGGGTTTCCTTCCTCCTGGGCAATGAAGGGTGTCTACATTTCTGCTATGACCACAGAATTGGGGATATTTCCCCCCTGACAAGACAAAAAAAAAAATATTTGGCTAGACAATCATTGTAAGCTCTATCAAGGAATCCTTTAGCTTTTCTCAATAGATTTTTAAGATCCTCAAGGCCATCTACTTTTTGACTAGGTCGTAGTATTCATCGGCCACTCAAAAAAGTTTGCTGTGTTTTTTTAATTGAAGCTATGGTTGCTCTGTCCTGATCTCTCTAAATCTCACTTAATAAAATTTACTTAACAGTTCATATTTTCCAAGCCTATAGGGGAAGGATGGCAGAGTCAGAATCAATCAGGGGATGAGATGTGGTAGGAATAAAAAAGTCAATTTAAAATGTGTCTGGGGACACTGGGATGTGCTGTAGTATTGACACAAAATAAACCCATGTGGTACTGGGGCCTCTGAGGAAAAGGCCAGGCACACATCTGAACCACCAGGAAGGAGACCTGGTCCCTCACTTTGACAAATGGAAGGCTGGCTATCATCCTAAACACAGTCATCTCCCAAGACAGGTGTATGTATTACAACAAGCATGTGGTAGCATGGAGGCCCCAATAGGGCACTGTGGACACAGGCAGGACAAGGCCAAACTCATCTTGGGCTGACTTCCCATGGGCCATCCTGGGACCAGTTCTAGTTTCTTAAAAGAGAAACTCCTAAGAAATGTTTGCAGAAACAAGATGGGCCTGAGGCCTTGTAGGAGCCTCCCTGACAAGCACTGAGCAGCAGCAACAACACGGAATCCAGTCAAAAAGCTCATTTCTCCACTCTTTATTAAAGCTAAGTCCTCCTGTCAACAGCAGCAGGCCAGGGCAGTGGCAGCTGGCCCAGGAGGGACAGGGACGGTGCCAGACCCCAGAGACGTGGGGCTAAAACTGAGACGCATCAAGCTCCCCAGCATACCTTGACCTTGGCCCTTTCTAAAGCTCCTGTCTCATAGCGCAGAAGCCAAGGATAAAGAGGCCACACTCCTGATGCCTCCCTGGGATTCCTGCCCTCCTAACCACCCAACCCCACAACCTTATCCAGTTGGGCGAATTCTTACCGCCACCACGCAGGCCCTCTCCCACCCACTGACTACTGTGCCTCCTACCCCACCCTCAGCCCCTAGCAGCCTGGCTGCTGGCTCTCAGCCTCCAAGGCCATGTCTACACTAAAATGGAAGGAACTAGGTCTAAAAAGGAATGAAGATGCATCAAAATCTGTTTTGTGGCCCCACTCACATTGGTCTAAGACTTAGCATAAAGGGAAGGGGGCTTCCCATGAGCCTCAGCTGCCTGCCCAGTGGCTCTTAACAGCCCAGTCTAGAGGGTGGGGAGCCCAGTAGGCAGGGGTCTTGCATAGTTTGGTGATTGGTTTGTCATTGACCCATAGGCTCAGGTCCTCACATCCCCCAGACATGGACAGCCACTATGCTAACCACCAGGGCCTCACTGCCTCCAGTGACCAATCTGTTAAATGGGACTCTAAACAGAAACAATATTTGTTCTAGCGTAGGATAATGAGAGAAGCAGAGTTAAAGGGCCCTGTGGACATTGCAGGGCACTAATTGTGGGATGTGGAAAAGATCCTTTGACCAACCTCAGTCACTTTATGTTAAATGAGCATTGGGCTCAGAGTAGCAGGGCTGGGCATGTCCACCTGCTGGAGAAAAAGTGACAGCCCAGGGAATTGAAAGCAGGGCTCAGGTCGGAGAGCCTGCACAGGGCACCCCAAGGATGTCTGAGTATACCACCTCCAGTTGCCAGAGGTGGGAGTACCAAAGGACTTAAGTGAGGACGCTGAGACTAAACCAGCAAGACTAGCACCTGGCTGGTCTCAGTGCTCAGGTGGAGTGAATAGAGTGAGCAACTGCAGAGAATAAGGCTTTAAACTCCTTTGGGACCCTGCAAACACCTGTAACCCATCCGCCCCAACCACAAATTTGGTTTCTGGCTTTTTCTCCTCCTCCCATATTCTTCAGGCCATACAAGAGCTGGAAATAAATATCTATAGTCAGAATAAAAGCTTTTCCATCTGTATCTTCATCCCCCGGGGTTAGAGCTCAGGAACTCCATCCTTTGGAAACCGACAAGGCTCAGCTCACCCCACTCCTCACCCCCAGCACGGTTCTAACACCTTCAGAACATAGGACACCCTCAAGTAACGGGCGGGGCCCTGCAGTTTCCCACCAGGAAATGGGAAGAAGTCATCAGCTAAATCCCACCAGCAGCCCAGGCATCAATGGGGACTCCCCGGAGTAGCCAGTTGCTCTTTCGTCTACCACCCGCCTCCACTGACGCAAGGGCTCCACGCCCTTGCTGTAAACCCCAGTTATAGACTCAGATGCCTCTTGTTCCCCGGGCCACCCAAATCGGAATCCAAGTAAAATAAACAGCGTCGCCCGCCATCCCTACCGCTTTGCTTCACAGCACAGACCTGGGATGTCATAGTCTTTGTTGGGGTGGCCGCCCTCTGCCCTATCCGTCTCCGCGCGCTGCTCTTCTCCCCGAGCGCTCCCCACACCGCCATCTGAGCTCGGAGCACGGCGGCCCAGCTCGCTGGTGCCAGGCAAGAAAACCCGAGGCGGTGGGGCGGAGGGTGGTGCACCGGGAGCTGAGGGAAGGCACCACACCTAGGACTGGGACCCTCGGCCTTCCAAAGCCAGAGGAGCGGGGGGCGGGCCCGCCCAGGGGAGGGGCCGGTGGCCTAGCAGGCTGGGCTTCCGTGGGCCTAGGGACCCTCACAGGACGCTCTCCTTGTAGGCGCCAGAGGGCCCTGCGAACGCCGCCTGGTGCTCGGAGCCGAAGCTCGTGCCGCCCGCAAACTCCAACAGAGTGCTGCCGCGCTCCCCCAGCCCGCTGCTCGCTCCTGTGCCCGGCGGAGCCCTGGCAGGCGACTGGGCCTTGGGCGCTGGGGACGGAGCCGCCGCCTGCCCAGGCGCGCCTGCCGCGCCGCGGTGCGTCTTCATGTGTGTGAGTAGGTGAGAACTCTGCGAGAAGCGGCGACCACAGTTGGCACAGGCATAGGGCCTCTCGCCCGTGTGCGTGCGCTGGTGTGTCACGAGCACCGAGCGCTGTGAGAAGCGCTTGCCGCACTCTGGGCACGGGAAAGGCCGCTCGCCTGTGTGGCCCCGCCGGTGCTTGGCCAGGTTAGAGCGCTGCGCGAAGCCACGTCCGCAGTCGGCACAGCGGAAGGGCTTTTCTCCCGTATGCGTGCGACGGTGCCGTTTGAAGTCCGAACTGTGGCCGAAGCCCTTGCCACAGTCGGGGCAGCGATGTGGCTTCTCTTCGGCATGCGCCCATTGGTGACGCGTTAGCGCCGCGCTCTGCCCGAAGCGCCGGCCGCATTCTCCACACGCATAGGGCCGCTCGCCCGTGTGCGCGCGCCCATGCGCCGTCAGATGAGCGCGGCGACTGAAGCCCGCGCCGCACACGCCGCACACGAAGGGTTTCTCGCCTGTGTGGCCGCGCACATGCGCCGCCAAGTGCGAGCCGCGGGCGAAACGCGCGCCGCACTCGGGGCAGGGGAAGGGCCGCTCGCCCGTGTGCGTGCGTCGGTGGCGCGCCAGGTGTGAGCCATACACGAAGCTCTTCCCGCAGTCGGCGCAGCGGTGCGGCCGCTCCCCCGCGTGGTAGCGCTGGTGCTTGGCCAACGCAGCGCGGCGCCCGAACGTTTTGCCGCAGTCTGAGCAGATCCACGGGCTTTCCTCTTCCGCCAGCGCGGCGGGCGCCGGCTCAGCCAGCAGGCCGCCGACGGCGGGCCCAAACGCGCGCAGGCCGCCACTGTCGCCACCCCCGGCCCCGCCGACGCCAAAGGGGTCGCAGGCCAGCCCCGCGCCCTCCACCAGAGAGAGCGGGCCCCCCAGAGGTCCTGACATGGGTCGCCCATCTGCCGGCAGGCGTTCCCGGAAGTCGGGAAGGCCCAGGATCGGGAAGCCGTCCGGGTGGAGCCAGGACTTAGGGTGCACGGGAAAGTGGAAGCCAAGCGGGTGAGAGGAAGGGCCTTCACCCTCCCCCAGGCCATTGCCCAGCTCGAGGAACCGCCTGTCTGGCTCGACGTCCTCCTTGCTCCGGGGGGTGGGCGCCTCTGTCGCCGCCGCCTCTCGCGCCTCACTCTCGGCCTCGGGCTCTCCATCCACTTCGCGCGCCTCAGGCCCTTCAGGCCCAGCTTTAACTTCCTGGGGCCCCGCCTCAGCTGGCGCTTCGCTGGGCTCCCGCTGAGGGCCATCGCTACCGGGCTCCGCGCAACCGCCACCGCGCCGGTGGCGCTGGAAGTCGGCGCGGAGGCGAAAGGCCTGACCGCAGTCAGGACAGCAGTGCGGCCGGTCAGCCGTGTGCACTGCCTGGTGCCGCGCCAGCGCCGAACTCTGACTGAAGCTGCGGCCGCAGTGCGGGCAAGGGTAGGGCCGCTCGCCCGTGTGCGTGCGCTGGTGCGTCACCAGATAGGAGCGGCGGCCGAATCCCGCGCCACAGAAGGCGCAGCGATAGGGCCGTTCGCCGGTGTGAATGCGCCGGTGCGTGACCAGGTGCGACTTGTAGACGAAGCGCTTGCCGCAATCCGGGCACGGGAAGGGCTTCTCGCCAGTGTGCGTGCGTTGATGGATGGCCAGGTGCGAGCGGTACACGAAGCCCTTACCACACTCGTCGCAGCCGAAGGGCTTGACAGCCGCGTGGTAGCGCTGGTGTTTGGCCAGCCGTGAACGGTGTGGAAACACTTTGCCGCACACGTCACACGTGGTCTCTGGCCGGCCAGCAGGGACAGCCACTGTGGCTGGGAACGCCCAGGGCGACAGGAGGTTTGCACCCAGATCCCGGCCAGGCAGGAAGGCCTTCACTTCAGATCCCTCAGCCAGGATCCCGAGGCCGCTTGGGTCAGGCCCCCACCCATCTGTAGTCTGTGCTGAATCCGAGTCGTCCGGGCCCCAAGTTCCAGGTACGTCCCCCACACCGTAGGCTGCCGACCACAGCCCGGGGGGCTCATTCTCCTCCTCAGCCACCTCTGCCAGAAAGTCCTCATCATCTTCCTCCTCATGGTCCTCCATGTCATCAGTCCAGAACCAGGCTCCTGAAGACACAAGAGAAAGGTAAGAGAACAGGACAGGCATCCCTAGCAGACTCTTGTCCCAAGAACCCACAGCTTCAGCTGAATGCCAAGCTCTTGTGATCACAGGACCTCCCTCCAGTCGTAAACTGGGCACCTCCATTCACCCAGGTGAAAGGATGCACATGTCCACCCCCAACCCTGTACAGCCCCTGCTCCCAGTTAGGAACTTTGCTAACAGTAGTTATGAACATGTGGGTGTCTTTCCTAGAAAAACCAGGATTTCTTTCTTCTTCTAAGAGGCAGGGTCTTGCTTTGTTGCCCAGGGTACAGTGAGTGCAGTGGCATCATCCCACCTCACATCAACCTCAAACTCCTGAGCTCAAGCAATCCTCTTGCCACAGCCTCCCAAGTAGCCAGGACTATGGGCTGTGGCACCAGGTCAGGTTAATTATTTTATTTTTTGTAGAGACGAGATCTCACTAGAACTCCCTGCCCCAAGCAATCCTCCTGCCTAGGCCTCTGAGAGTGCTGGGATTATAGGTGAGTGCCACTGCCCAGCCTCCTTTCCTCCTCACAGGCTGTCCTCCCTGCTGATGAACAGAACACTCTTAACAAGTGGGTGTGCTTCTCTGTAGGTTCCTGTGAGACTCAAGGCTAAACCCCTAAGAGGGCTTCTGTGTCCAGAAAAAGACACAGGGCAGTTTTTCCAGGAGCCCATGTCTCCTACAGAGCTCTAGATCCATGGCTTCAAGGCTCTAGCACAGTCTGGGCCCAGCTGCTGAGGACCTGCCTTTGTAAGCACCTAAGCCCTAGTCAGCATTCCCTGTCTCTCCAGGTCTTCACCATCAGCCAGGGGGCTCCCACCCGGTACTCCCAGAGCAGAACCAGGGAAGGCTCACTTAGGCAAGGAAACCCAGAGGGGGCAGTGGGCACAGCTTGCCAAGGCCCATACAGAGGCCAATGACTATATGTGCAGGTTCTTGAATCCCTTTCCCTTTTAGGTCCCTGGATTCCCTGCCAGGCTGCCCTCATCTTGGATTTTTTCAGTCCGCTATGCATTTAGAAAATGGCTGCAAGCTGCCTAAAAGAGTAGGCGAGCTTCAAGCACCTTCCCACAACAAAAGGCCAGGCACCTCTGAGTTTTAGCCACTCTGTCCCTCCTCCACCAAGTTGTACCCCTGATCTCCCTTCTGCCCACCCCTTCCCCACCCCACCTCCCTGGGGGATTGCATGGGTAGCAGATTCTCATCTATGAAGTGAGAATGCTGATACACCTGCCATCGTGACACACCCAGAAGGGAACTAATGTTTCTGGAGCAGACCTTAAGTCATCCAGGGAACACAAGGGAAGATGCCTGGCCTGCAGCAGCCCCAGGCCTTCCAAAGCACTGGAGTGTCTGCTTTCCTTCTACACTTTGTACTATGTTCACAGCAGCCAACCACTGTGCCATAGCACACCTCTGAATCTCAGTATCTGGAAGGCTCAAGCTGCCACAGTAGGGTAGGAATCTCCTCCCCACCCAACCCTGGGTCCACTACGAAGGTTGTGTGGACTGTTTGACCTGTCATCTGGCCAGTGAGCCTAAACCACTGAGTCCTACCCTTGAGGGAGGGCCAACCCAGAAGTCCCAGGGAGCTTCAGTGCAGCCTGTGTTGCAGATGACATTCCATATGGTGACCTAGGGTCACTCAGAAAACCACAGAACTGCATATGCCTGAGTTCAACCCAGGTAGAGAATCATACAAGATAATAAAATCATACAAGATAATAGGTTATTTCATACTTTGTAATACTCTCTAACTTTTCTATAATTGGTATTACTATACTATTACAATAAACATAAGCTTTAAGTAAAAGAAAAGTTTGTTAAGGCTGGGCATGGTGGCTCACACCTGTAATCCTAGCACTCTGGGAGGCCAAGATGGGTGGATCTCCTGAGCTCAGGAGTTCAAGACCAGGCTGAGCAAAAGCAATACCTCATCTCTAAAAGTAGCTTTAGCTCAAAAGTTTGAGGTTGCTGTGAGCTGCAATGCCACAGCACTCTGCCAAGGGTGACAAAGTGAGACTGTCTCAAAAAAAGAAGGGGGGGCTTAGCACCCATGCTCAGTGGTTAGGTCGCCGGCCACATACACTGAGGCTGGTGGGTTTGAACCTGGCCTGGGCCTGCTGAAATGACAGTTGCAACAAAAAAATAGCTGGACGTTGTGGCGGGCATCTGTTGTCCCAGCTACTTGGGAGGCTGAGGCAAGAGAATCGCTTGAACCCAAGAGTTTGAGGTTGCTATGAGCTATGACACCACAGCACTCTACCAAAGGCAACATAGTAAGACTGTCTAAAAAAAAAAAGTTTGTGACTATGCTGAGTCTACCTCTAACTGCCACCCATCGCCACCCATTGAGTAATGGGAAGTGACTGTGCCCCTTCAAGTGGCACAAAACAGGCCAGATTCCTCCTCGCTGGACACCCTTCTTTGTTCTGCTGCAACTCTCTCCAAATCTAGAAAGGCTGGAGCACCCCAGGGGACAGGAAAGAGTTGCAGGGAGGGGGTGGGGGGAAGACAGACAGTTTGGGCTCATGGAGGGATTAAAAACAATCTTACCCTTGGGCTCAGATGCACGTCTTGAGTAGTTGTTAGAGACCTCAAGGCAAAGGGAATTCAAGTTGGGAAACACTACAGATTTTATGGGCTGAATCTAGGACCTCAGGACCCAGCCAAGGATCAGTGACCATTTGCTGGATAAGCAAGCCTCAAAGAACTGGATACCCAGGCCAAATGAGGGCCTTGCTGACAGCAGTCTCAGCAACCCAGAGATGGCAGGGAAGGCCAGGACCCCATGACTCCACACCCTCTCGTTGGAGCCCACGAACTCCCACTCCTGTGGGCTCTGGAGAGTGAAATAGCCCTGACAGAAGATCTAGAGGACCTCACCATTAGCTCTGGAGCTGGTATGGCCACTTGTCCAACAACCGGAATAAATGTGAGGCCGTATCTAAACATGCAGATGACAGAAGCCATATACTGATGCTGAGGGAAAATGAGGAAGGATATCCCAGCCCCTGAGAAGGCCTGGTTGTACCCTGAGGGCTTCCTGCTAGGTAGGGGCCAGCTTGCCAGGTTCTGTCCTCCTGTTTTCTGCTCCTGAAGTGGGCCAGGGTATTAGCTCTGGAGTGGGGATGTCCATATAACAGTTCCTACAAGTTTCCCAGGGAGTCTCCTGGCTCTCAAATCCAAAATCCCTTTTTGGATCCAAGGTCAGAATTAGGAGCTCCACTTGTCATCCCAGGAGAGTAGAGGGCAGCCAGAGGATCGTGATCCAGAGGATAAAACATGGCTGCTCCAGCCAGAACCACAGTGGAGGGGAAAGGAAAGGTGAACCCAGATGGGAACTGGTATTTCACCTCTTTTGGTCCTAACATTTGCTCCTAAAGACTGGCCTCGTGTGATGGTTAGCTAGGTCTCCAGGAAGATCCCATGGGATCATAAGGAACTAGGGATAAATGGTAGAAGCAGATCAGAGGCTTAATGTCAGCTGCCTGGGGAGGAGAGAGCTATTAGGGCTTAGCCACAAGGACACCTTCAAAGCCTATGTCATGAAGGGGAGACAACAAGGCCTACCATGAAGGGGCAGGTGATAGGAACTAGTAGATGGGGGTCAAAATAAAGACCACCTCATGGCTCGGCGCCTGTGGCTCAAGTGGCTAAGGCGCCAGCCACATACACCTAAGGTGGCGGGTTCAAATCCAGCCCAGGCCACCAAACAACAATGATGGCT